CTACGCACCGTTTCGGTGCTCGGTCCCTAATAATAATAAAAAACGGAGCAATTCCAATAGGGCCTACGCACCGTTTCGGTGCTCGGTCCCTAATAATAAACGGAGCAATTCCAATAGGGCCTACGCACCGTTTCGGTGCTCGGTCCCTAATAATAAACGGAGCAATTCCAATAGGGCCTACGCACCGTTTCGGTGCTCGGTCCCTAATAAAAAACGGAGCAATTCCAATAGGGCCTTGCACCGTTCGGTGCTCGGTCCCTAATAAACGGAGCAAATCCAATAGGGCCTACGCACCGTTTCGGTGCTCGGTCCCTAATAATATGTTTACTACAGTGCAAATGGCCCCATGGGTGCAATTACCAGTATTGCTGGTTGGAGTCGCTGTGCGCTGACCGGGAACAAAAGCAGTGCAATTCCAACACCTTCCACCGAAACACACTTCCGGCCACTGTCATTTTCATCCATTTGACATCTTAAAATGGGCCTTCTGAGCGCCACCTTAAATCCTGCATGCGAACGTGCCAAGCTACGAATCCTACTACGATGACGGCTTGTCTTATGAATATTAATGGCGCAACGTGGCGTTCGAGCGGTAGGCGTGTCGCGTTAGCTTCTTTTTCACTCTCTTAAAGATATTTTTTTTTATAAAATATGGTAGAAATATATAAAATATACGCGAGTAATCGATATTTATAGATTTTATCAGTCAATTTATGAGTCTTAATATAAAAATTGTATAACTGTATTTATTTTAAAAGGTAATGTTTAATATTGTCCTAATGTCATTCAGTTATTAATCAAACTTTATTACAGACTAAAAGTCCAATTAAAAACAAACATTTAATTTCATAAGAATGCCAATACTAATAACGCCACAGCTGTTATTTATAACATACCTCTATTATGTCAAAATAGGTTTTTACAGAGTAAACTAAATAACTTTTATTGCGATAATTAATGTAAATAATAGCTAATTTTAATATTTAGCATCGGAAAAACTAGACCGCTGAATATTAATTAGGCGGTGTAAATATACGCTTCCGGAAGGTTACTAGGCAACATGAACACGGCGCGATGAATATTCATGAGCAAATCCTTTACCGTAGTAGAATCTGTAAATCGGCGTCTAGCGTCACACGAGTCCGTCCATACGAGTCCTGAAGCGGCGGAAGAGGCATGATTTTCCAAGCACAGCCTGCTCTTTCACCGCCTATACCCAGACGTACACAGTATTAGCGAATGTACGACCAAATCTAGACGGTTTTTCATCATATCCAAACGCGCTGCGCTCGCTTTCCGCGACGTAAACTTATCTGTTAGCTTTAGCCTGCTAGCTTGTCTCAGAATTTCTGCAAGTATGATCAGCCTGGCGGTGGATTAATCGCTGAAACTGGCCTATTTCGACAGAAGATTCATTTGTCGTGTGTGAAAACCGCAATGTCACATGCTGTTGTAAAGATAGCCTGTTGTTTTTGTATTTCCGAAAGCAGAACTGTCTGAAGTTGACGTAGGATTTGAAGTAGAAAATCCATAGCCCAGATCAGCCCAGGGAGAACAGACTGAAGCCTTTCTGCCTTCAAACTGATCAAGTTTAGACCGAACAAAGAGGACATCCACTCAAACCCCGCTTACTTCATCTGCAGAGAGAGAATAAAGCACAAACACAGGCTGATATGATGTTTCCACAAGCCAGGCACTCGGTGAGTCTGTTTTTCCTTCAGTCAGGCTGATTGTCACACGGCAGGTGTTGTGGACATTGTGTTACTTGCATATTCATGTGTTTATTTTACAACAGAGCACCGTAGTTGATCAATTATATGCTTGTTGAGATTATACTATAACAATTTATTCACTTGCAATATTATAATTATTTTTTTTCCTTTTGTTTTGAACGTGCCCAAAGGCAATACAATGTTTTTCAAATGTGCTTTGGCAATATCCTTGATTTTAATACTGATTTTAATCAGTACCATAGTGCTTTATACTCTGTAAGGACCTAGGTAAAATGGTTTTATATGCACACATTCAGACTTTCTCAGTAAAAGAAAAGTATACTTTGCTAATTTCTAATTGTAAATTCATTTTAGCAGCCTGTAAATATCAAAGTACAACACTGTTCACAGTCAAATAAATAACCTTAGTGTTAATGTTGTTTCGAAGACCTAATTATATGTGATTTCAGACCCATTATTCAAAGTACCATGATATACAATGTAGGGAGCATGTCACTAAATAAATGTGCGAATTTAAAATCAAGTTTACCTCAATTCCATTAGGCCCCATAATGTCTTTTTTTTGTGGTGTATGTGTATCTTAAGATTTTCTTGGACAAATCATTCAAATAATAATATTATCATTATATTTACTAGTTGATTTTAGTAGTGTGGTCGATATTCAGTTCAATCTCTTCACTTATATTTCAAGTGCAGACTCATTTGTTTTGGTGTAAGTGTATGAGTGTTACATTGAAAGACATGTCGTATGTTGTATGTGATTATTGTCAAAATGAATCTTAGAAAACATTTATCAGTATTTCTAATATTTCAACCCTCATGTGCTGTTAGGGATGTTTTTATTCACTCTGGGGTGATTTTGAGTCTTAATTTGGCCATAACTTTGTCTGTTTCAGCTAGCAGAATGATTTCTGATGACATCTTATTTTGACACATATTTTGAGAAGATGCATTGAAATTTTTAAAGAGCTCAATGATACACCCTGGCAAATTGGCTACCCTTTTGTTATGTTTGGGGTGGAAACATCCACTGAATTAAACTGCTGGAAAAATGCATCAGATTAATACTTTATTTTTTCGATTGCACAAATTTGTCAAAACTACTAAATTTCTTAGAAAATGACAGGATTTTAACTCTTTAATTGCCAAGCTTATAAATGATGTCACTGATTTGGTGAAAAAAGCTCTCAAAATTATGTGTTTTTACCATAAAAAGTAATTGTGGACTGGATTTTTTCAACCTCTTATCACAGTCTTGGACATGTTGAACAACTTTGCCTTTGATGCATTGTTTTTGATTGATTTTCATTTTTTTCTCCCTAAATTACTATTGGTGGCTGTTTTTGAACCATTGACTTTCATTATAACCACATTTGTTTGATTACAAAACCATGACACCATATAATGATGCATTTTTGATTGTTGCTGGTTTTCCTCGTTGGGAAGAGGTAAAACATTTTTACTGTTGATCATCAGTTGGTACCATTAACCCTTTAGATAGGCCTGTGCAAAACTAAAGCTTAATTTCTGGGTTTTATATGGAGAATAACTGCAAATTAAAGTGTGTGTGGGAGTGAGCTTTGCACACTTACCTCGATATGTCTGAGAAAATCAAAATATGCATCTCCGCTCTCAGAGCTACATGGAGTAAACAAAAACAAAGACTGTGTATTTCTACACTATGAAATGTGGTTATAATGGAAGACAATAGCCCCTTTCACACAGTGATATCGGTAAGTATCCGGAAAATTTCCATAATGACTTTACCGGTATATTCAAAAAAGCGCTGTTCACACAGGCGAGGACGTTACGGAATTTTTGCAGAAAAGAGCATTCACACATCCATCCCAAAATACCGGTGAATTCTGACATCATTCACCACAAATGAGCTTTAAACGGCTGCGCTTGTATTTGTAAACATTTGACTACATTACAAACTCTGTGGATGATCAATATTGTGAACAACTTCGATGAAAACATATGGAGGAACACTTTCGCATCACACGCAAAACTTGAAGGTAAACAAACAGCGGCTTATCATAAGCATCTTATCGATGATTATTTACACAGTTGGCATTAAGAAGAACATATAAACGTTATCTGACTAACTTCTAGCAGCTTAATGCGTCTGGGAAAATATTCAAAGGCTTTTATTCTCATAAACCGCGCAGATGTAAACGCGTCTGACTGTTCTGATTGGCTAAAGCAGACGTCTCACGTCAGCACGTTCTAGAAAGAAAATTGACGGTAATTTTCCGCAAAGGTGTGTATGTGTGAAAGGGGCTAATGGAGCAAAAACAGCCACCGACAGTAAATTAGAGAGAAAAACTGAAAATCTAACAATGCATCAAAGACATTGTTTTTCAGACGATCTGCTGCATTTCAAACCAAGCATCAGAAAGAGGATTTAAGTGACTTTGAACCTTGCAAGTGTTAGGGTTATGGTTGTTGGTGCCAGGCTGGTCTGAGTATTTCAGAAACTGCTGATCTACTGGGATTATTACGCACAACCATCTCTAGGGTTTACAGTGAATAGTCCAAAATAAGGAAATATCCAGTGAGCGGCAGTTCTGTGTTTGCAAATGCTTTGTAAATGACAGAGGTCAGAGGAGAATGGCCAGACTGGTTCCAGCTGATAGAAAGGCAACAGTAACTCAAATAAGCACTCAATACAACAGAGGTTTCCAGAAGAGCATCTCTGAACGCACAACACATCCAACCTTGAGATGGAGTGGCTAAAGCAGCAGAAGACCAGACCGGGGGCCACTCCTGTCAGCTAACAACAAGAAACTGAGGCTACAATTTGCACAGACTCATCAAAAATTGACAATAGAAGATTGGAAAAACGTTGCCTGGTCTGAATCTCAATTTCTGCTGCAACATTCGGATGGTCGGGTCAGAATTTGGCATCAGCAACATGAAAGCATGGATCCATCCTGCCTTGTATGAATGGTTCAGGCTGGTAGTGGTGGTGTAATGGTGTGGGGGATGTTTTCTTGGCACACTGTGGCCCATTAAAACCAATTGAACATCATGTCAGCGCCACAGCTTACCTGAATATTGTTGCTGACCATGTCCATCCCTTTATGACCACAGTGTACCCATCTTCTGATGGCTACTTCCAGCAGGATAACGTGCCATGGCATGTCATGAAGGGTGAATCATCTCAGACTGGTTTCTTAAACATGACAATGAGTTCACTGTACTCAAATGGCCTCCACAGTCCTTTGAGCTCAATCCAATAGAGCATCTGGGATGTGCACCTGACAAATTTGCAGCTACTGTGTGATGCTGTCATGTCAATTTGGAGCAAAATCTCTGAGGAATAATTCCAGTACCTTGTTAAATCTATGCCGCGAAGGATTAAGGCAGTTCTGAAGGCGAAAAGAAGTCCAGCCCGGTACTAGTAAGGTGTACCCAATAAAGTGGCCAGTGACTGTAGATGTTTTTTGTTTTTTTTTAGTTTAGTTTTTTTTGTTTTTTAATTGTACTTTGTCTTGTACTGAGTTAAATAGATTTAAAAAATTGTTATATTTTAAATAATCATTTAATTTATTACAAAATGTAAGTTTATAAAATGTGTGCTTTGGTGGAGAGTGGCAAAATTGATGTTTGGACTGTGCTTTGATCCTTGAGTAGTTTTTAATATGTTGTAATCTTTTTTTTTTTTTTTTTTTTTTTTCTAATCATGCCTGACAAGGTTTTTTGCTATATAAACCATTGTTATTCTGATTGATGTTTTAGTGGAGGTCTTTTGTAAAAATGAGTAATAGTCATCAGTTTTTTCCTCACAAAAAATTGGCCACATTTTAACATGAGGAAAAAAAGTAGCTCTGTCCTTTTGTTGTTTAAAACAACTTTGTTCATCTTTGACCTCTTTATTAATTTGTTTTACATTTCTAAACCACCAAAATTGTTATTGTCCTCCATTGTAGAGGCTTCATCGAGTGTTTCTATCTATTCTCCAGCTGTGATTTCTAAAGGTGTCATGTGAGGTTTGCTGGTAGCGTGTCTAAATGAAAGCGTTTGTGAATGTGTTCAGCCTCAGGTATGGTCGGAGATGCTTGTTTGCACACCAGTTGCCTGGTTCCCTCCCTGTAGAGGCTTAATTGTGTCGTTTCCATGAATTGTTCCTGTGCACACAGTGGGCAGCTTGTGTTAATGAGTCCCCAGTCATTATTTTGTTTGCACTCAGGCCTAATTGCCTTTCCCCCCCGTGCACACAGGCGTATGTGAACACACAAACACCAGCACGCTAAATGAAAACCTCACAAGTGCATGGATTTGGGGGATTCCTTAATTTAGGCCTTTTTTTGCTAATTCTAAGAAAAGAGTTTAGGAGAACATTTCAGTCCATGTCCACATGTACAGTTGAAGTCAGAAGTATTAGCCTCCCTTTGAATTTTATTTATTTTTTTAATCTTTACCAAATGATGTTTAACAGGGCAAGGAAATTTGCACAGTATGTCTGATAATATTTTTCTTCTGGAGAAAGTCTTATTTGTTTTATTTCAGCTAGAATAAAAGCAGTTTTGATTTTTTTTAAATCAGCATTTTAAAGTAAAAAATTATTAGCCTCTTTAGGCTATTTTTATTCAACTGTCTACAGAACAAACCATCTTTACACAATAGCTTGCTTAATTACCCTAACCTGCCTAGTTAACTTAATTAACCTAGTTAAGCCTTTAAATTTCACTTTAAGTTGTATAGAAGTGTCTTGAAAAATATTTAGTCAAATATTATGTACTGTCATCATGGAAAAGATCAAATAAATCAGTTAATAGTGATGAGTTATTAAAACTATTATGTTTAGAAATGTGCTGAAAAAAATCTTCTTTCTGTTAAACCAAGATTGGGGGGAAAAACACGGGGCTTATAATTGAGGGGGGCTAATAAGTCTGACTTCAAGTGTACATGGGTATTTTTATAATCAGTGTTTCACCACTTTCGTTTAAAAAAAAAAAATC